ATCACTCAATCAGGAATTACTTTACAGCTATGTTTCAGAGTCTTCACTTTTTGTTCCTTTGTCTATCCTTACTGGGATATGCAACCAGGATGGTTTCCATAGATTTAGGATGGAGGTGCACAAGCATACTGTAACAGACAGAAAAGTATTTAAAGTGTGAAACTCCAGAAACTGTTATACTGAGATATATTAAAGACCCTGGATGTTCTGAATGCTCAGAACAGTAAAACAGAACTAGTAAGTCTGTGATATATTTTTAAGATCCAGGCAGCAGCAACTGGTGTGCTGACTGACACAAATTCTCAGGCAGGAAACAAGATTAGAGAAAGCCCATTCCTCCTTTAAAATCACCATATCTCCTGAATGGGACAATTTGAGAGAAAAAAAAAGCTACAAAAAGATAAAAATGACAAAACACCTCATACAGGGCAAGGTATGTTCTCTGTTCTGAAGCAAGATCTGGTTTCAGTTTATGTTTATAGCAAGGAGTCACCAGGCAGAAGAGGAAAGTATTGAATAAGTGTCTGGACCATCTTAAATTTGTACACGGCTGATCAACTATGTCTCCTAAACAACTATACACAGATTGTTTTACTGCTCTATGTAATGAAGTCAAATAAGGGTTCCTAAATAATTCCAGTGAAGCACAGAATATTCCCAAAGCTAAATAAATCATCCAGGACTTCAAGATAAAATGGCTTATAAAGGTGATAGCTGTCTGGGGGAATACCTGAGTGGAGTGCCCTCAAGGAAGCAATCAAAGTTAAAATTGATTCTGAAACTAAGACATGTTCATATCATCAAACCATGAAATGAGATACTTGGGCTCTGTGAACAGCAAAGTAGTCAGGTGGTATCCATATTTATTTTATATAGCATATATTTATGGAATGCAGTGGTACAGCGCTGCTCTATAGAGCAATCTCATGGAATCCTCCAGACTTCACTGGAGCTCAATGACTTCAGCTGCATCTTCCAAAAGAAGATCACAGAATCACAGAACCACAGAATGGCCAGGGTTGGAAGGGACCTCAAGGACCATGAATCTCCAACCTCCCTGCCACATGCAGGGCCACCAACCTCCTCATGTAATGCTAGACCAAAGATGATTGATTGATTGATTGATTGATTTAGCATAACCTGGTTTGGATCAGCTAAATTGTGCTAAAAAAAATCTTGACAAAAGGATGTGCACGCATTATAAAATTCAAAAGACAGATTATGAACAAAGGCAAACAGAAAAGTCTGCCCCAGGTATAGGCAAAGTACTATTCCAAGTAATATGTGCAAATGGAGTGTCTGAGGCGTGCCAGGCTCTCTCTGCCATGGGACAGAAGGGAAGAAGTGAAAAGACAGCTGGGACAGAGAGCCTGCAGAAGAAAATTTGTTAATTCCCACTGCTAAAAGAATAGAAGAAGTGGTGCCTGCTGCTTTGTGAGGGGCCCTCTGCTTCTTCAGCAGCACCACAGAACACTCAAGGGCAGGCTATTTTTGTGATAGTGGCAGAAGTACTGCAGGTAACTGGGCTATGACCATTTTGTTGCTCTGGGCACTCTTTCAACCAATGCAAACTGCATTCTTTGCCCAGTCCTTCAGCTTCGTCTGGCTTCCCTATCTTCATCCTGCAATCTAATTCTTCCTTTTCTTTTCAGCTTCAGAGAAAAACACTTTAACCCATATTACCTTATCTTTTAGTTTTCTACCTTTAAAAAACACTTGTTGATAAGTCTTGGGGCAGTTTCATTTTGATCATGGCTCCAAGAGTATCGAGAGCTAAGCCCAGACACATTTCCTGAAGGGCAAATCCAAGGAATAGAGATAAGTGTTCTGATGATAAACTGAGGTGATTTGGGCAGATGATGTGCACAAGTACAGGCTTGTGCCTGGGAATGATTGCTTTTGGGAGAGTACTCTAGCACAATCAAGACATTATGTGTCCCAGCATCTTGGCAAAGCAAACTCTTCTCTTTGAACTGACTGGATGACTGAAATGCTCAGGTATTTGGAAAACAAACAAACAAAGAAAAAACAAGATGCAGTGATGTGGACTGGTACTTTTTCGATTCTTTTATTTTTTTCCACAATGCACCATCAGCTCTCCTAGTGCTTTAACACTCCCTGTGATTCTCTCAAGGTAACAGAACTCAAAACTTAGATGTCCTTGGGTGAGAGAAAATGAAAAACATAAAATCTACTTCATTTAGAAATAAAACAATTACTAACTATAGTTATGTTATTATATATATATAATATATATCTAAATAATACAATATCTGTATCTTAGTGTGAATAAGTTTTATTTATAAATAGCACATTCTGTGAGGATGCAGTAGAGCCTCTAGGTAGCTTCAGTCTGAAAGTTAATTACAGCTTTGAAGTATCTGGAGATTTCAGTTCTCTTGTTCTACAAAAATATCAACTAAGTAATTTTTCCACAGCCATTATCTTAAACTTGCATTGGATTCACCCCACAAGGAGCAGGAGAACACAGCTGGCTACCACCAATCCATGGTGATCAAACAAAAGGGAAACAGAGCATAATTTTATTCTTAGGAACAGAGGAAATGTGTTTTTACAGTTTGAACACAGGAATGGGTGAAAGAAAACATCTATTTGCAAGTCTGCCCCTGTGGACACAGGTGAACTTTCCAAAGGCAGGTGAATAATTCATGCACTGTTTCTGAATTAAAGCTGAGATTTTCAAAACTCCACAGCAAACCAACCTGTGAATACTGCCTGTCTGAGATTCACTTTACTTTGTGTAAATCTCATGGTAAGTTTCCATGCACTGAGTGGATAAGCATGGCTTTCAAAATTAGATTACTGATGCAAGCATTTATGATTACAAATTTAATATGTGCTATAAAGATTTATGAGGAAACTAAAATCTCAGTTTTGCTGTACAGTACAAGTTATATTATGAACAGATTATAAATCACTCCCTTCGCATTTAAATATATTCATTCACAGAATAAATATCTATCTCTGGGGATTCATTCCTGTTTGTTTTTTCTTATCTTTCCTGCTTTAACTTCTAAATTTTACAGTTTGTTGCCAAGCACTTTTTAAACCAGTCTTGTAGGTGAGAAAAATGCTTCTTGTTCCACAGTCATCCAAACGTTTTCCCATTAATGTCAGAATACATGCCTCTCAAAAGCCATATTTGAATGATAGGTACTAAATTACCATTCATATTTCATTTTTCTAATGCATGCACTTCTGTTTGCTCTGTACTGATTTTACTTCACTGGCCAGTTCTACTTGACCAGAGTGTCCTCTGCTGTACATTCCAAAAATAGCAGTGTATTAGAATTTCTTCCATTCTTGGTGATCAAAATGAAGTAAACTGAGAGAAAATGAGGCTAATTGGAGATCTCTAAAGATCATCACTTACCTTTCTCTCTCAAGCACATTTCTTTAAAATTCCTTCTAGTTACCACAGATACATCTATTTTTTTGTGAACAGAATTCACGTGAAAACCTCCTAACATTCCCCATTCACCATTCACAAATGTTTAATTTTTTTGTTGTTTGAAATGGAATATTTCACCAAGAACGAGTATTAGGAAAAAGTAATCATCTGGGACATCGTCTGAATGTCAGACATGAGATAGAGAGAAAATTTTGTTAAATTTTAAAATATGGGTTTTTTTTGTTTGTTTTTTAACTAGCTTTCTGCTGTTTAGTGATGACAAACTGGATGTGTGAAAGGAACATTCTGTTTAAAGAGTGGATGTCCCAATAGTAAGTTATATGCACGTTAAACATGTATGAGCTTAAATGCATTACTGCTCTTTCTGAGAAGAAATCTTTCCTAATATCCAACCTGAACCTCTCCTGGTGCAACTTAAGGCCATTACCTCTCGTTCCATCACTGTTAACAGGGAGAAGAGCCTGACCCCCACCTCACACCTCATCACAACCTCCCATCAGGTTATTGTAGAGAGTGGTAAGGTCTCCCCTGAGCCTCCTCTTCTCCAGACTCAACAATCCCAGTTCCCTCAGCAGCTCCCCATAAGACATGCTCCAGACTCTTCAGAGCTTCATTGCCCTTATCTGGACATGCTCCAGGGCCTCAATATCTTCCTTGTAGTGAAGGGTCCAAAGCTGAGCACAGTAATCAAGGTGCAGCTCACCAGTCAAGAGTACAGAGGGATGATCACTTCCCTGCTCCTGCTGGCAACACTGTTTCTGATACAAGCTAGGATGTAATTGGTATTCTTGGCCACATGGAAGCAACGGTTCCATTGGAACCTGGAAACAGCTGGCTCACATTCAGCTGGCTGTTGACTAACACCCCAGATCCTTTTCCCCCAGATAGCTTTCCAACTGCTCTGCCCCAAGCCTGTTGCAATGCATGGGATCATTATGGCTGAAGTGCAGGACTCGGCACTTGGTCTTGTTAAAGCTCACACATTTGGACTCAGCGCATTGATCCAGCCTGTCCAAATCCCTGTTGGGCCTTCCTACACTCAGGCAAATCAACGCTTCCTCCCAACCTGGTATCACCCCACATACTGACTAAGGGTGCACTCAAACTCCTTGTCCATGTCATCAATAAAGATATTAGACAGGACTGGCCCCAATACCAACCCCCCAGTGGAACACCACTAGTGATTGGTTGTCAGCTGCGTTTGGATAGTGGAATCCCATCAGAAGACAGTTAATGCCAGAGACTTATACAAACAAAATAAAACAGCACACACACAAGAAAGAAGCCACAAAAGTTTAAAGAGTGAGGCCAGACTGATTTGTGAAGGCTGCAGTGCAAACACGTAATGCTATGCACCCTGAAGAGCTTCTTAACCTGCGAGGGGAAAGCAGCTGGTATGCCTGGGGTGCCTCGGGCCTTATTCGTGTCAGTTTTTTGTTATTTCCCAGAACCACAAGAAGACCCTCCCAACTTTTTTTTTTTTTTCTTCTTTGCTTTCCACACGTCACAGCCCTCAGGCCTTGTCAGAGCATCCCTCTAAAAGAGACACTCGGCCAGGCAAGGAACCCAGCCCCGCCGAAGAAAGCGAACGCCCGGGGGGAGCGGTGGTCCCGCACCGAAGCTGCGCGAAACGCACCGTCAGCCATCGCGCTCCGAGAGGGGCGGGAACCGCACAGCGCCCACCCCCATCAGCCGCCTTTCGGGCCTCTGCCGGAAGTGAGGGAAGAAGGAGAAGGGAGGCGGAGCCGGGCGGCTCTCCGGGAGGTTCGTTCGCCGCCATTTTGCAGCGCCGGCCCGTTGGACCGCGCGGAAGTGGCGGCCGGCGAGGCGGGAAGGGACGGGGCTCGGCCGGCTCCTCCCCCGCTGGGGCGGAGAGGCGGGGACTGAGCGGGGCCGGGCCGCGCCGCAGCCGCGCTGGTGGGGGTGGCAGGGCCGAGCGGGGCTCGGAATGTCGGCGTTCTCGGAGGCGGCGCTGGAGCGGAAGCTGTCGGAGCTCAGCAACTCGCAGCAGAGCGTGCAGACCCTGAGCCTGTGGCTCATCCATCACCGCAAGCACTCGGCGCTCATCGTCAGCGTGTGGGAACGGGAGCTGCGGAAAGGTGAGGCTCCGCTGCGGGGTGGGGCCTCCCCCGGGGAGGCGGCTGTGGAAGGAGCGGCCCGGCCTCGGGGCGCGGCTGCCTGGGGAGGGGGTCGGGCTGCGTGGGCCCTCGAGCCCGGGATGGAGGCAGGGGGAGAGAAAGGGCGGGCCCGGGAGTCTGGGAGAGCGGAGCTGCAGGGGCGGGTGCGAGCCCCGGGGTGTCAGAGTGCTGGGAGGTGCTGCTCCTCTCTTTTTTCCTCCCCTCCCTTTCCTCCTCCCTCCCTCCCTCGGCGAGTTGTTTCTTAGGAGGCCGATGGTTGGCTTCCTCCTCTTACAGAGCGATAGAAGGCAGTGAGAAAAGGGAAAAAAGGTGGTATGCGAGGGCTTTAAATACTGGTAGTTAAGGTTCTTCCAAGATGCCAGGTCTTGGGTAGTCTTTCATCATTAATAACGCTGGTAACTACTATCTCTTTGTCCCCTTACGCCAGCAACTATTCATGTCGGGCAGATGAAGATGGATGTAGCAGTTTAATGTGTCCTAAAGGATACTTTATTGCCAGGTGGATAGTATTGATGCTAACCTAATAGGCGTGTTTATTTCTTTTAACTGTATTAAATATTTGGTGTCCAGCGTGCAGCCTTAGTTACTTAAATGGTTTTCCTTTTAACAGCAAAGAGCTTTGAGTTCTTTCTGAGGTTGAAATGAAAAAATGGCATGGGAGGCCATTGACCCTCCTAGAAAATAACTTTATCTTGATTCCTTTAAATATAAGTAAGTCACTTGCAAGGAATTTGCCTGGCTTTAGAAAATGTTACTGTCTTCAAATAGCTCCCTTTGGATTCTGTTATTATATAGGTCTTTAAGGGGAAAAGTAAGTGGATAGGTTTTCAAGTGAAGAGGAAAAATAAAGCAAAGTCACTATAGAACTTAAGGAAGAGAAACTACTACCTTAGTTTCGAGTGTCTAAGAGGGCTGATTGACCCGCAGAAATGATGTGCATTAGAATACAAAGAGTGGCTGGTTCATCATTACTTCTCATTTAGAGCACATAACTTCATAACAAACTAACTGAACTGCCCTTAAAATAATATCTTGACTATGCAGCAGTACTTAACTTTGGAATATAGTATGGAAATAGATTCCTGTCAGTTCTGTAGGTTTTCAGATGGCTACTGTATTTTTATTTAAAATAGGCTTTTCTGATGAAATGTTGCTTTTTTGAGGTTTTAAGCCTGCTTTTTTTTTTTTCTGTCATGTTATGGATATCTTAATCCATAAATTGGATTGAGTCTGTTACAAATGAATTCCTGAAAAGAAATGCATATTTGCTGGTATATTTCATCTTATAGAGGGGAAAAAAAAAACAAACATTTTCAGTGTATGGCTCTTTGGAAGTATTTTCTTCATGTTCTGTAATAAATGAATGGCTCTTACATTTTCAAGGGGGTCTAGAGAAACAGTTTCAATGTCTGGTGCTCTAAAAGATATCAAAAAGGTGCCTTAAACTAATTGGCATTCAGCTAGAGGTTTCATTGTTTGTCTTGATAGTATGCACAGTACTAGCTCATAAAATGCTCAGCTCTCAACTTCAGTTTTAGTATATTTTTTCCTGTTACACTATTTGTGTGATTGGAGAAACAAAATGCTCAAAACATGACTAAATGCTTAGAGATGTCATTAAGAGGCAAAGATAATGATCTTCTTAAAGCAAAGTATTCCCGTGAGCTCTTTTCTTAGCTTTCAGTATCTGGCTTCTACTTCTAAGTCTGTTTTGAAGATGTAGGTCAAGAGCTTCGGAGACACGTAGCTGCTATGAGGGCTGCTCCAAAAGCAGTGCCTCCAGTTGCATTATGTTGGCCCACAATGTCAGAGGTGGATGTTGATAGTATGGCAGTAGAGGTTGAACCTTTCCACCAATATTCTGTTAAACTTTATTGCTGTGTGACACATGGCAGCAGAGGGACAGTCTGAAAAAATGGTGTCTGAAATGGAAGTGCATGAAGCAAAGACTTATCCTTGTGTTCTTCCATGTAGACAGAATTGCACCTACTGACATACTGCTGAACATTGATGGAGACCAACCAGTAGGTGTGAGCACAGTGAGGCAGGGGGTGGTACATTTCAGCAGTGGCAACAGTGATGTGAAAGACAAGCCACACACAGCTGTCACAGCACAAAATGAAGAGCATCTTGATTAGCTCATCCATGCAAATCAGCAGATTACGACCAGGGAACTGGAATATCAGCTTCAATGTGTTAGAGGTGGCCATATTGGAATATTGTGAAGCTTGTGTCTGGTGGGTCCTGTGAATGCTCAGTTTCCTAGATTGCATCATCAGTGGTGAGGTCATGTGGTGTCACCTCCGTGAGCTGGAGTCAAAATGGCAATCGATGGTGACGCATGAATTCCACATCAAAGAAAAAGTTCAAGATGCAGCTCTTAGCAGGTAAAGTGATTTGTACCATTTTTGGGGGGATAGGAAAGATGTGATCCTTTTGGATTTCATGGAACCTGGACAAACTATCAACTCTGACTGCTACATTGTGATGCTATTTAAGGGGGAAGACACCAACTTCTAGAGTCTGGCCAGAGGAGAAGACAACCTTTTTCTTGCAACCAGTTTGAAGACTGTGGAGCATGTTGCCAGTCTTGGCTGGACTGTCCTGTCACACCCACTATATCATCTGGATTTGGTGCCTTCTGACCTGCATCTATTTGGGCTAATGAAACTTGGGTTGCATATGGAGAACATTCCTAGCAATGACACCATCATAGCAGCTGTAAAACAGTGGCTCACCTCCACTGGTGCAGATTTTTACAAGTGTGGCACACTTTGCTGGCAAAAGTGCATAGCTAATGGTGATGGCTGTGTTGAAAAATAGTGTTTTGTAGCTGAAAGTTTTCTCTGTCAGTTACTGTGTTTTATCTATCTGTTGCAGTTAATAAAATAAATAGGAGGCATTACTTTTGAAGCAACCTACATATAGTTATTTTTATCTTCCATTTGCTGTAGTGTCATTCAGTTTTTGCTGCTTCAAAGCACAATTTTTCTCATGATTTCTTTGGAAACCAGCCCTCAGGGGTGTGTGAAAAGCATGTCATAACCTAACTCTGGCAGGAGAAAGCTCCTTTCAAGGTCCTGGTCATCTTCTGTGTCATTAGGCTGTATGTAAAGTGCTTCTTTCATATGTTGCTCTGTCAACTCGTGAAGCTAGCTTGGCTAAAGCATCACGAAGTTGAATGCTGGCAGTGATGCCATGAGTAATTTTGATGCTCCTGACTTGCCCATTCTTCAAATCATAGAAATGTGATTTCTGTCCTATCAGAGTAAATCGGGCTCTATTTGGGGAATGTGAACACAAATAATTGGTATTGTCTGTCACTATTGCTAGCCTGTTTTTTTCCTGGATGTAGAAGTTAGATCTTGCCTTTTTGGAATTTTATTTCCTTCAGTTGTGTCACCTTTTTTTAAATTATTGCTCCCTTCTCCAGACCTTTCTTCAAGTCTGTCTCCTTTCAGGCTGGAGAAAGATTATGCTACAGTATTGCACAGTTGACTGTGTTGAACAGAATACAGTGCATTTCTTATTTTTTCCGGATGCTTTCATTTTGGTTAAAAGTCCTTGTTTCAGATGAGATTGCTTGAACTTCTTTAAGGTATTCATTCAAACAAGTACTAGGTTCATCATTCTTTCATTCCTAAACATTTGGTGCTAATTTTTTTACTTTCAAAATAGTTGCTGCCTTTACATCATGTTGCAGTGGAGGTGAAGAGATAGCATTTCTAATGTGCATGTAACTTAGGCAACGCAGATGCTGGGCAACATAAAACTGTAGTTTCTTTCTGTTTACCTGGATACTTGATAATCTTCAGGCCCTGTTCTAGGGTGTCTTCACAGGTCTGTACAACTTCCTATAGAAGTTTTATGTATTTATTTACTGGCTGTTTGTGTTCTACAGAAATATTGGTAACTGTGGATTGTCAGAGACTCCTAGTAACTTTTGCAAGAATATGCAAGTAAAGGATCTTCATTAAATTACAGATAGAAGAAATCATAGAATCATAGAATTGCTCAGGTTGGAAAAGACCTTAAAGGTCATCAAGTCCAACCACAACCTAACCATACTACCCTAACTCTAATACCCCTCCACTAAATCATGTCCCTGAGCACCACATCCAAACAAAACACATGCAGGGATGGTGACTCAACCACCTCCCTGGGGAGCCTATTCCAGTGCTTAACAACCCTTTCTGTAAAGAAGTTTTTCCTGATGTCCAATCTGAAGTTACCGTGGCACAACTTGAGGCCACTCCTCATCCTGTCACCAGTGAGAAGGGACCAACCCCGCTCTTGCTGTACGCAATTTTCAGATACTTGATGAGAGCAGTAAGGCCTCCCCTCAGCCTCCTCTTCCCCAGTTTCTAAGGCCTTAATGTAGGAGGTGGGGCATACTGTTTAATGGCTGACTTCTAATGTATGCTAATGAAAGTAACTTTGTCACTTTAGAATGAAGCTGTGGCAGAGCTGCTGCCCAGCCTGAGATATTAAGTACTCCTGATTCTTCATCTGCTCAGAACTACTCAGGTGTGACTGTGGGTACAGTGTGTTTTAGCACAGGCGTGCCCAACCTTCTTGCTTCCCTGGACCATATTGAATGAAGAGAATTAGGCTGCATATGAAATATATGATATAATTAATGTATATAATGTATATGGTTGGACTGGATGATCTTGGTGTTTCTGTGATTGTGTGATACAAGTAACAGAACTTTCAGTTTTTGTATTTATTATTAAAAGATAACAAAAAAAAGGGCAACAAAAAACATAAAACCTGGTGAGTTGGACATGCATATTTTAGTGTGTATAGTGTTTTTTTCTTTTCAGTTATGCAATATACTAGCTGTCTTATTTTTGTGGTTAATGGAGGATTGATCCTTTAGTTCATTGATGAATAAAATAATAAGAGTATGCACCAAATGTGTTTGACTTTAATTACAACTGTTACAACAAAGATTTTTC